GACAGAAGACACTGCTCTAGTGAAGAGGATTTTTAAAAATTTTCAGTGATGGTGGCGTGATTTGTAACACACCTTCAGCCCCACTCTCCTTATTCATGGCCCTCAATTCCTTGGTCTTTCAGTTGGGGGCAGCCAGCATGTTCAGTGTGAGTACTCTGAAGTCTTCCTTTGGAGCTCCCAAATGCCTTTTCTTTAGCTTTCTGAGTTTGTTAAATTTTAAAGAAAAGAAAATATGCCAGTGTAAACTGTTCCTTCTCTTAAATCTCCTCTCATTAAAAGGGGTGGCTAAGCATGTATTAAGAATCTCAAATGTTTTATGACCCCTTCCTTTGGCAAAGAAGCATGTAGATACTACTGTGGATTTTGGTGAGGGGGTTGTTTTTGGGGGAGACGAATGAAAAAAAGAAATTCTCCTAGAAAGCATGTTTCATCAGTACCCATGACAGGGAGAAAAGTATTTTGGATGGGAGATAAATCTGTCAAGAAGCTGTCACAACTGACAGACCTTTTTGTTGATGTTATTCTGTCTAGTTTGGTATCATCTTGTCACAAGAGTGTTTCTCTCATAGTTGTTTACAAAAAGGTTTTCTGTCCTATAAAATAATTAGAAGCAATCACAGTCTAGCTTTGTGACTGGAGGTAAGGAGGAGGATCCAAAACACAGCTTTCATGACAGAAGGAGAAGAAGATAATTAAAATTAATTATAAAAGTTCTGGATTAATTCTACAACTTGATTGTTCTTCCCATATCACAGAAGTGGTATGGACCCAGCAGTTTTGGTCACAGTCTTTTCTTTGCATTTGCTCAATGAACTAACACAATGTCACATAATTGGCAGATTTGATTACATGATGATGATAATTGATATATTCGGTGCAAACAGTTCATAAACTGCCAGAAAATCAACCAATTCATTAAAAATCAACATGCCTGCCCCCAGAGATCAAGACACTGGGTTATGTTGACTAAGATAAACACAACTAGTAATTTGATTAGACAACCTATTATATAGAATTAAAGGGGGAAAAAAAAAGAGAAGTGGCTTCAAATGAGGCATACATATTCAAAGCCAGGAGGAAGAATTTTCATCAGTTAAGCTTAACTGAAAGATAAATGATACTCCTTTGAAGTATGGGATCACAACAAGACATTTCAACTCAGGGGAAAGATTAAAGGTTTTATGGGCATGGTACCACACAGTCCCTGACTGGAGATTTCTTTGTTAGCAACAAGAAGTACCTCAATTAATTCCAAACATTTTTAGAGGATGATGAAGTGCCACTGTATTTTATTGTTTTTTGCAACCTTTGTGGAATATGAGTGCTCAGGTGTCACCTCTGGTAAACACAGCTGGGGCTGGGGGATGAACCAAATTCAAGATTAAGGTGTCCTACACTGCTCACGGTGCTGGTGCCAGTGTTTGTAAGGAATCAGCTTAGCAGGCTCTTGGCAGAATTGTGCACGGCAGTAGGATCTTGCCCAATGCATTGCTCATTAAATCTCATGTTTAAGCCCAAATGTGTGTTTAGTACCATCAAGGGGTACGATTAAAATCCACTAAAATATAAAATAAAAAGCTGACACTGTGGGGGTCAATGAAAATGTATTTGTCATGGTCCTAAGTATATACACAGGAAGTTGCAAAGGAATCGTCTGCATCACTTCACACACATCTAAAGCCACTTTCACACCAGTGAGAGCTACTGCATGAAGGACACATTACAGGTATGGATGGATGCCATGCTTTCTTCTCACACCTTAGACAAATTGCTGACCTGAATGTATGCCAGCACTCTGTGAGCAGCATTTTTCTTCTGGAGTTGTTCTAAGTCTGTTCTGTAAATAGGGAAACACATCAGTTACTCCAAGGGAGGGGAAGAGGTTGTGCTCTATACCAAAGGGTGCCAGGTATGAATGGTGTTATTTTCTCACTTACAAACTTCCTAGAATTTAAAATAAGTTTTGAACACACTTTTGATGTGGGATAGAGGTCTACTTACCAGGGTCAAAGGTTTGACACCTGATTGTGCAGCTGTTTGACTCATTCCCCCTTTTGCTTTAAGTACATTCTGAATTAAAATATTCTATCACTTGTTTTGTGCGTGAGCTGAGAATTTTGATCTAATATGCAGTGAAAGCCTCTGACTGACCTATCAAGTTAATTACTCCTGAAATACTGACGTCAGGGGAGGCAGTCCCTGGCACTGCAAGGATAATGGTCACCACCTTGAAAAGCCAGGAGCAGTGTTTGAGTGGGGATTGGTGTCTTTTCTTTTTTTAGAACCTTCTGGTTAGCTCTGGTGGCTCTGAGAATGCAAAGAAGCACCGGTTTGCTTAGAAATTTTATATATGAAGACAAATTAATGTACATTGCAACTGAGAGAAATGAAAGCTTGGGCAAAGTTATATAAAAAAGAGGATAGGGATATTGAAGAAATCAGAATCACATGCAAAACACCAAATTTTTTCTCCAAAAACCAGAAATTTTTTCCTTCAGAACAAGCATTTGGTTCATTTCTCACTCCCCCCTAGCTCTTTTTACATTAAAATTCTTTCCACATAGCTAAATTAATAAAGACAAAAATCCGTTTTATGACAATTGTCAGAAATCAGAACTGACACATCATATATATGTTTTCCAGATTTAAACCTGTATGTGCTTCAAGCTTCCTTGATCCAGTTATTTATAGTACTTACAAATCAGGTCAATATATAACTTATATTTGGCTGGACACCTAACAGCTGCTTAGAAAAGAAAGATTTATACTGTCTTACCCTTTCAGCATTCCCAACAATAAATTATTCTCTTTATGACAATTCAGAAACCACTGAGAAGATAGGCTATCACAAATTTCAGTCCACTTACAGAAATTTAACTCTCTTTGTATGTTCAGTTGTTTTTAAATTGTACAGTCTAAGTGATAGGGTTCAGCAAAAGAGGGAATGTTTCAATACAAATAAATCAGGAAAAGTAAAAGTTACAAATACAATTTTGGAACTAGAATTTCTGTAGTTTCTGAAAAGAACTCCCTCCCTGATTCTAGTAGCATTTATGCATGATGTGGAGCATCTTTTCCAGACGTGATTAATGGTCTTTTAAATTTGCATCTGTGTGACTTTCTGTGAATAGCTTGGGCACAGCTGGAAAAAATATCAGTTGTCAATGTTCCCCCTGACCCTAAATACAAATGTGCAACAGCTATTCATGAAAGGATAAGAAAATATGGATCATCCCTAGAATTTCTTTGTGTATGACATAGTTTTGTTCTTATCAGAAAGTGCAAAGATTCCTACAGCACAGAAAAAAGGATGAAAGCACTTTCCACTGGAGCTCTACCTTTACCAATTTGGCTTCTGTGGAGTGAAGAGGAAGCAAGGGTCTAGCAGACTGCTTTTCTCTTCTCTTCCCTCCATCTAGATGTATTTGAGGCTTACCTCCTTGTCAATCTCTTGTCATCCCTTGACATCTTTGTTCTTGAAAACTACAGCTGAAGTTAATTAACTAGCAACACTGATAACATTATTATCATTTTTCCTACTGTTTAACACCTGCATTGACACATAAGCAAGAGCTATATTGTTCAGGACAGTGCACAGATACTCCAAAAGATGGTATTTTCTTCAAAACATGTATGAGGATGAAAAAGGAGAGGTACGCACAACATTTATCATTTAGCCAGCATGTAGGGCAATTTAACCTATTAAAATGGAAATCATATGATAACTCTCACATTATGACAGAAAGGGTCACAGGTCAGGACTTGAAAATACTAATTCAGAAAGAATATGAGTCTTGCAGACCAGGAGCTTCCACAGAAGCTGAGAGAAGCTTTTATAGAATGTAATCTTTGTCAGTGTTCTGGAGGGCAGCTGTGTTTAGCAGCCAGATGGTAGTTTGGGACTCGATCAGTGAGCTTCTGTCTCCCACCCAGACACATACTGGGGGGAGAGAAACACAGCTTGTGCCTCAACAAGTACTTTCAAGGCAGGTGATAGTACAGGTGGTGGAATTCTTCCATTTTAAATGCCATTTTAAACTTCTGATCAGGCAGTGAGACTGCATTCCTCCATCTGATCCCTAACTAGTGAGCTGCTAGACTCCTAGTGCTCCATCATCTCTGTGAGGATCTCTGTGTTATGATCTCTGAATTATTATCAGGAGTGCAGTGATCAAGTGATGCCTTTCTTTAGGAAGGGCAGAGTAAAGAGCAATGTAGGAAGTGTTTTTGTAAAATGATCAGGAGTTCATTCTGATCCTGCATATGGTAAATACAGAATCTTACAACCAAGTCATCAAAAAAAACCCCCAAAAATAAGAATATGCTTCTTCAGTGTGTTGTTACCTTTCTAACAAGATTTTATTTGCACTTCCTCGTGTATTGATTTGAGTAGCATAAAAGTATAAAAACACAAGAGTGAATGAAACTCATAAAGTCCTACAGCATTAGTATCTTTTAAGTTTCCTGATACACATTAATGTTTAACTGTAAGATCTTTCAGTTATTTTTAAGCATTCCTTGTACTTATATCCATGCATATCTTTCTCTGCAGTTTTTCACCTTCCAGGAAGAAAAAAACAAATTAACATTTTCCATTCAGTCTGTGTTGTTATAATAAATAATAACAAATTTAAGACCCAGGGNTCAATTAATTCCAAACATTTTTAGAGGATGATGAAGTGCCACTGTATTTTATTGTTTTTTGCAACCTTTGTGGAATATGAGTGCTCAGGAGTCACCTCTGGTAAACACAGCTGGGGCTGGGGGATGAACCAAATTCAAGATTAAGGTGTCCTACACTGCTCATGGTGCTGGTGCCAGTGTTTGTAAGGAATCAGCTTAGCAGGCTCTTGGCAGAATTGTCCACGGCAGTAGGATCTTGCCCAGTGCATTGCTCATTAAATCTCATGTTTAAGCCCAAATGTGTGTTCAGTACCATCAAGGGGTATGATTAAAATCCACTAAAATATAAAATAAAAAGCTGACACTGTGGGGGTCAATGAAAATGTATTTGTCATGGTCCTAAGTATATACACAGGAAGTTGCAAAGTAATCGTCTGCATCACTTCACACACATCTAAAGCCACTTTCACACCAGTGAGAGCTACTGCATGAAGGACACATTACAGGTATGGATGGATGCCATGCTTTCTTCTCACACCTTAGACAAATTGCTGACCTGAATGTATGCCAGCACTCTGTGAGCAGCATTTTTCTTCTGGAGTTGTTCTAAGTCTGTTCTGTAAATAGGGAAACACATCAGTTACTCCAAGGGAGGGGAAGAGGTTGTGCTCTATACCAAAGGGTGCCAGGTATGAATGGTGTTATTTTCTCACTTACAAACTTCCTAGAATTTAAAATAAGTTTTGAACACACTTTTGATGTGGGATAGAGGTCTAGCTGTTTGACTCATTCCCCCTTTTGCTTTAAGTACATTCTGAATTAAAATATTCTATCACTTGTTTTGTGCGTGAGCTGAGAATTTTGATCTAATATGCAGTGAAAGCCTCTGACTGACCTATCAAGTTAATTACTCCTGAAATACTGACGTCAGGGGAGGCAGTCCCTGGCACTGCAAGGATAATGGTCACCACCTTGAAAAGCCAGGAGCAGTGTTTGAGTGGGGATTGGTGTCTTTTCTTTTTTTAGAACCTTCTGGTTAGCTCTGGTGGCTCTGAGAATGCAAAGAAGCACCGGTTTGCTTAGAAATTTTATATATGAAGACAAATTAATGTACATTGCAACTGAGAGAAATGAAAGCTTGGGCAAAGTTATATAAAAAAGAGGATAGGGATATTGAAGAAATCAGAATCACATGCAAAACACCAAATTTTTTCTCCAAAAACCAGAAATTTTTTCCTTCAGAACAAGCATTTGGTTCATTTCTCACTCCCCCCTAGCTCTTTTTACATTAAAATTCTTTTCACATAGCTAAATTAATAAAGACAAAAATCCATTTTATGACAATTGTCAGAAATCAGAACTGACACATCATATATATGTTTTCCAGATTTAAACCTGTATGTGCTTCAAGCTTCCTTGATCCAGTTATTTATAGTACTTACAAATCAGGTCAATATATAACTTATGTGCTTCGAGCTTCCTTGATCCAGTTATTTATAGTACTTACAAATCAGGTCAATATATAACTTATATTTGGCTGGACAGCTAACAGCTGCTTAGAAAATAAAGATTTATACTGTCTTACCCTTTCAGCATTCCCAACAATAAATTATTCTCTTTATGACAATTCAGAAAC